GTCCATTTTGTGTTTCTGCTAGTTTGAAATTCATCCAAACACCTGTTCAGCTCCTTATGATTTAAGAAAAAGGCCAATGTTGTCCTTTAACACTTATAATGTTCTGTAGGCTGTCCATGTTACATGCTCATGCTTTTATTTCATTTGATTTGTTCAACGTGACCTTATGTTTGTTTCAAATCATGTTTTTTTATTTGCTTCACTAATTAGTGCTTATGGTTTCACATAACGAAAGAAGCCTTTAGTTTAGTTTCATTTAATCGAGTGTTTTCATTTAGTCAATAGTTAATTAACCAGTAGTTTTGTTAGAGTTGTATTGTGTTTTTTCTTCCTGATCAGCAGGGAGTTTTTCCTCTCCACCGTTTGCTCAGGATGGGAGACTGTGATGAAGTGATTCAACACAATCTGCTGCTTTCTTCTTTACATTGTTCTTTTTATGTACAGTGTCCTGAGACAACGTATGTTGTGACTTGGAGCTGTATAAATAAACTGAACTGAATTGAATTGAAATTCATTCCACAGATTGCAGCCAGCTAGCAGAGCAGGAATCACTCATTGATAAGAACTCTCCCCATGTTGGATCAGAAAATTTTGATTTGTCAGTTATGTTGGTATCRGAGACTGATACCAGTACTGTATTGGACTGGCCCCATCCCTAACTGCTATGTGTCTAACACAGTGCTAGTTAACCAGGTAGATACAGAAACAGGTGCTGGTCTGAGTTACCTGGTAGATCACTGGTACCAGTGTGTGGTAGTGCTGGTGTTGGTCTTGGTTAAACTGGTTTAAACTGGCCRCATATTCTTTCCTGGAATCCTCAGCAGCTTGTTGTTTCTGCTGTGCTGTTTGACGAGCCTGAAAGTAGGAAAGAACAAAAAGCAGACAAGTGAAAAAATCATAAAAACCTATCAAAGTTTGATGGTATATTATCGAAATAAATTTACCTTCAGTGAGCACCGCTGAGACACAAACAGAGAAACAGAGACTCAAATGAGTTCAAACTCATCAGTACTTTGAAGAAACAGTCTATGTTGGGTATCTATTTTTTTCTGAAAGATCTGTTTTACAAGTTCAGTCCTAAGTGTGCAGCTGTCCAACAAATAAATGTCCTACAACAGGTGTAGAGCTGATGGTAACATCTGGATGTGATAATACAGGTGTGAAGATGATTGGAACATGGATGTATTAATATACAGACATAAAGCTCATGATAACGTCTGGATGTGTTGAAATCCAGATGTGGAGATGGCTGTAATATCTGGCCTGGTAGTCTGCTTCTGATATGGATAGGGCTATGCACAGGTGTTTGGAGACAGATGTTCTTGACTTCGTGTTTCAGGTGTTCTGCACTTTGGATATAGAACCTTTTCTCCATCCATCTTGTCCACATCGATCCTGTCTGAGATGTGCTGTGCTCGCTCTGCCTCCTTACAGTCRCGCTCAAACCGTCGTTTACTCTACGACAACAATCAACCAAAAACACAGCAGTTCAATGAGAAACGATTGGATTTTTGTACAAAAGAAATGAATSCTGTTTAATTTGGTGGGTGTGGCAAGAAGCAAGGGAAGTTTCTGGTCTGTAACTGAACACATTGGGAGAGGGGACAGTGTTAGTATGTGTGGTCATTTAATTACTTACTGATTCCAGCTGTTTCCAGGAGTTCTCTATGTGTTGCTGAGCACGGCGGCCATCTTGGAAATGCTGAAACAAGAAAATAAACATGTCAAATTAGAACACACATTGAAGTTTAAAGCTGTCCTAAATGTCTTAGAAGATGTCCTGTGAGATCTTTCATGGCTGAGATGTTGTTTCCAGACAGAAAGCAGCTAAAGATCAGGGTGTGGTGGTTTATCATGTTTGACATACCTGAGCTCATCATTTAAAGAGATCTAACAATTTTAGAAGTGATGACTAAGTTTTAGGGTTTCTATCACAGACAGCAGAGATGTCTCCATGGAATCTCTTGAAACCAGACTGATCTAGATCAAGAACGTTGTTTTGTGACAGAAACTTAGATCTGTTTGAAAATTGTCTTTTAAAGACTTAAATTTGGAATTAAATATGGTTGATGGGCCAGGATTAAGGCTTGATTTTTATTCTTTTTGAACAGCCTCAGTTGCTGAGAGAGTTCTAAAGCTACCCAGCAGCAGGTAAATAGCTTGAACTTGTATAGTACTTTATCAAGTCTCTGTAGATTCAAAAGCACTTTACACTCCAATCATTCATACACACATTCACACACTGATGATGKTAAGCTACATTGTAGCCACAGCTTCCCTAGGGCACACTGACAGGCACCGGTGCTGCCAGACCCTCTGACCACCCTCTGAACTAGGACRACATCTGAGAGGCAGACTGGAGTGGTAATTACAGTCATTGATGGTTCCATTTCTTTAAAAAGTGGGGTATTGTTGATAATTGTGCTTTGCAACTATCAAGCAATCAAACCTCTCAGCCTCCCCAGGAAAGTTTACTCCAGGAAGGGAGGCACCAAATGACTAACATCCCACATTGAACAAGAGCAGTGTGGCCATTGGGCTCAGTTCTAACATGTCTGAAGCCATTGTTCTCAACAGGAAAAAGGCGGTTTTCTTGGTGGATGACTGGATGGAYGGACTGATTTGTTTGATTTGGAATAGAAAGAAAAGAACGGTCCAATCTATAATTGGTTCTTTGTTATTGGATATGCATCAAGACAAMTTTGGTTAATCTCTTGCATTTAGGAACCTTTTTTGCCTAAACGATGTTGAACAAAAACATATTGACTATATTTTTATTTTAAATAGGATCTTCAGACGTTTTTGTTACCAGCAGACTGAACTGCAACATAACCAGTGGTGGACAAAGTACTTAACTCTAGTACTTCCGGTTAACTCACTTCCGGTTTTTAGAGTGAACGCTGGCGCGACTTACTGCCGCTGCTCGCTGGTAAAATTAACCTAGTTTATGGTCTTGTGACCTAATGGACTWTGCAATCGCACTAATCAGGCTGACTAACTTTTGTCTGTTCAGCAAAATCGCCRATTTTGACAACACTGCGTGTGTACATGGACTAGCTTCCACTCTCCTGCTTTCATCTACTACTTGAGTCTTAACTGTCGCTGCTCACCTGTCCAGGCTGCCGACTCCTCTCCTACAATGCCAACTAGCAGGATATATATCTGGGCTGTRCTTCTCTGGACTCTCCTGGCACTCTTCCAACAACCTGTTACAGGTCTGATCCAGTACTCTGCTGCTGAGTTCCTCCGGCTGCGGTCTCATCTATCTGCACTCCCCCCTGCTTCACTACTCATCTCGGATGCAACTCTCTTACCAYGCCGGAAATACACCCACCGCGGGTCTCGTTGGAACATCCAAGAGGACACTTCGAAACCCATAAAATCCATCTGGTCTACCTCTCGTCGTMTCCGGCGTGCTTCCAACCGGGTTGTTGACTGCAGCGTGCTAGCTTGCCTAGCCCGGTCAGCTAACACTCCTGCAAAGCCTGATAACTCCTCAGTAAACTTCGGTCTGCTTAACATCCGCTCACTCACGGGCAAGGGACATCTCATCCAGGATCTCCTCACTGACCGTAAGTTTGACTTTCTATGCTTGACTGAGACCTGGCAACAACCTAATGACTTCTCTCAGCTCAATGATTCTACTCCACCGGGGTTTGTTTACATCTGTCAACCCCGTGGCACCGGCCGGGGAGGAGGTCTCGCGATAATTTACCGCGAGAAGTGGAAAGTCTCGCCGTTGTCTGCTCCCACCTTCTCCTCTTTCGAATCAACTGTGTGTCAGTTCTCTGGACCTACCCCCACCATCATCACAACCATCTACCGCCCCCGAAAACTAATAGTGACTTTATGAATGACTTTGCTGCTCTTCTCACTCACCTGTCAACCCTCTCACCAAACATTATAGTATTGGGTGATTTCAATATTCACATGGACGATGRCAATAGTTCTCWGACTAAAGACTTTTCATCCTGCCTCCAGAGTTTTGGTCTCCAGCAGTTCATCAATGTTCCCACTCATTCTAAGGGTCATGTCCTGGATCTAGTCTGTTGTTCTGGTGTTTCCCCTTCTGATTWTACAGCAGATGAACTCGCCATAACTGACCATTTCCTCCTCTCATTTAATATGTGTCTTCCTCTCTCAATCACTAAGCTTTCCCGTCTTGTTTCCTTCCGTATCATTAAGGATATTAATTTAAATTCTCTCTCCTCCGGCGTCAATTCTCTCATGGACAATATATACTCAACTTTAAATTCAACCACCCTTGATGACCTGGTCTCACATTATAACACTGGTCTTCACTCAATACTCAACTCTCTTGCTCCGCTAAAAACCAGATCTGTTTCTTTCGCTCGTTCTACCCCCTGGTTTACTCCTGAACTTTGGCTCATGAAGGCCAAAGGATGGCAACTTGAGAGGCTCCATCGGAAAACTGGACTAGTTGTTCATAAAGACATTTACAAAAATCACATATTAAATTATATGGACTGTATCACTCAAGCCAAATCCTTCTACTACACTGGTTTAATTTGTTCAAATGAAGGTTCCACCAAGTCAATATTCTCACTTTATAAGAACATCATTCGAGCCCCAGACTCTCTACCTTCATATCTGTGTTCAACTGATTTTTGTAATTCTCTCATGTCATTTTTTGACAGTAAAATTCTTAAGATCCACCAGCATCTCAGCTCACAACCCTCCCCCTGTTCTACTCTTGAACTTTCTCCTCCAGCCCACTCCTTCTCTTCCTTCCAGCTCCCAACAACATCAGAAATTACAAGTCTCATACACAAATCCAAGTCGTCCACCTGTCTGCTTGACCCTCTTCCCACAGTCCTGGTTAAAGCCTGTGCCCCAATCATACTCCCTCTTATCTCTGCCATTATTCACTCCTCTCTTTCAACTGGAACAGTTCCTGCATCATTTAAAATTGCTGCCATAACCCATATCTTGAAAAAACCTGGTTCTGATCACTACAATCTGAATAATTTCCGTCCTGTCTTCAACTTGCCTTTCATCTCCAAAATTCTTGAGAAAATAGTAGCATCCCAACTTCACACTTATCTATCCAACAATAACCTGTATGAACTGTTTCAGTCTGGTTTTTGTCCCCTCCACAGTACAGAAACAGCTCTCATAAAAATCACTAATGACCTCCTTATGGCAGCTGACTCTGGCTTGCTGTCCATTCTCATCCTACTTGATTTGAGTGCAGCGTTTGACACTATCTGCCATGTCACCCTACTCAACAGACTTTCTTCTATTGGTATCACTCAGACTCCTCTAAACTGGTTTAAATCATATCTCTCCTGCCACACTCTTCTCATTGGTACTAAATCTACTCTGGCCAAAATCAAAAGCTTCAGTCTTGAAATTGATAATTGTTCTGTTTTTCCCTCCCC